CCCCAAAACCCCAAAACCCCAAAACCCCAAAACCCCGAGAGTTCAGCATAAGATTGAATCCTCTCCTAAATACTACTATAAACAACACTGATAGTTAAGTATAAATCTATTAGAATGACATAGTCTTATGCTTGCCAAACCCGTATTTAGCCAGTAGCTTCGCACAGAGTTGAGAAGAATGTGCCAAACTTACAATGCACATTGAATAGAGGCTCTTCTTAAGATCAGACGACTTAGCCAACCCTGAAACAAGGCTTTCAAGCTTATGGAAGCTTTCATCCTTATCATCCTGGCTGGAATTATCTCTGATTGAAATTTTAAGGGTTTTGAGAGTTTTTCCTCTGAGTCATTCTGAAAAGTCAAGGTCACTTGGGAGAGAGAATGTAGCATTAGTTATCCAAAAAGAATAGCTATGCTTGAATGATACAAACAGTCTCTTCATCTGCTTTATGTTGATACTACAGATTTAGACCTGAGCTTACTTTTTGAAACCATTTATGGCAAATTATTTGCCTTGACTGCACAAGGACTGAGGAGCTAATTAAGATATTTCAGATTCTTCATTCTTTCCATATTTAATATATTAAAGTTCTCTGCAGCAGTTGGAGTAGATTTGTTAACAAAGTTTCTGAAATGCTTATTTCCAAAGTTAGTTCTAAACAAATGGATGTGAGAGATCACAGATATCTTTATTTTGGAAATTGTTTGAGTTAGTTTGGAGTTTCTAAACCAGATTAGTCTCCTTTAATTTACCAGTAATCATCAAGAAACAAAGCTATCTCTGATTGTTCCCCTGATATAAACATGTCCTCAAACTTCTCAAAATAAGCATTCTCGAATAACTGAGCATTGATCTCTCTGGATTGTTGCTCGATCTGTTCCTCTGTTCTAAAAATAAAGGGTAGAAAGTGTATTGATAGAGCTAATGACGAAAAGCCTTTGAAGGAAGGAACACCCTAAATCCTCAACTAGAAGTATCCATTGCCATTTGAACAGATTAGTAAAGATTATTTGTACCCATCTCGCATAAATGGTTGGTTAAGATTGCTAAGAGTATGTTATCAAGCGTAAAAAATTCAATTAGGGTGATGCATTCTCCAGTTTTGAAGATCTCCTTCGGATGTTCAATTAGGAATCTTACTTTCTCACCTCTGTTAGTTCTTTGCTCATTGGGTCTACATTGGAGGTGATTATCATGGATACATTTTAAATATCTAAGGTTATGAGACGGCTATTTTTATCTGAATAAATTAAGCACAGCTATGATTAAGCTAATTTCTAGATTAAATATGAATCTACTATATCCAAGTTCTAAGCATTTTGGAAACTCTTTGATGCCAAGCACCTCCAGTAGGCACCTTCTTGTTTAAAATGGAAACGAGTTTCAAGACAAATCATTGAGATGGTCCAATGGCTTATAAAATGCATTTAAATAGACTTTTTCCAAAAAATTCAGACTCTGGAACAAATAACTCATATTTTTTTAATCCAATTCTTTACATTTTAAAGCAATACTCTTGCTTTGCATTACGGTTGGCTCTTGAGACTCCATTAGTGAAGTATTAAATCAATATTATCGTCCTAGAAGGGGTTTTGGGGTTTTGGGGTTTTGGGGTTTTGGGG